CCCCAAAACCCCAAAACCCCAAAACCCCAAAACCCCAAAACCCCAACTTAAGGACAAGGGATTGGTCCATGATTAATAAAAATAATATGTCATTAAGTTTTATCCAGAAAGACAAATCAGTTCATTCAAAGACTTCCAAGAAGGTTACCATTAACATCTCTCATATAAGAAAAATGATTGTAAGCTGCAACTTCAGGAGACTAGGGTCGCCAACTGTCGCTGCCTTAAGGTAAAAATTTAGAAACACCTTATTATTATTGCGTTAAACCTCATAAATGGCACATTTACGAAAGACTTTTCTTCCATTAATGAAAGTTAAATTTATAGCTAAGTCATCTAAAGTTGGAGAAAATACTGAAATTAGTGAATATCCAGCCATTTTGGTCTTCTCAGATTGTTTCCTTTACTAATAAAAAAATTGGCTTGGGTCCTATTGAAGAAACCTTTTGAAGGGGAGTTCTTTTAATAAGTTTGCTTTTTAGTCCGCCGTTTATTAATAATTGTTTGGGGAACTTTGAGTATATTTCTGTTCATCTTTGATGATACTAAACACTCATTTAGACTAAAATCAGGCAAGGCTTTAAAGAAGCTTAAGTTGCTCAAGGAAAAAAATGTAAGTGATTATTTAAATCAAAAGATTATTATTTATTTTTAGCCTTTCTTCTATTTATTAAACCTTTGTACACTTTTAACAATAGAAATATGAAAACTAGTCTATATTATAAACCTCATGGAAAAACTTTCTTAATAAATTACTCCAGTTCTACAATAGCCTAATAAGTTTGGTAGGGCTTAAAATACTATAGACAAAGAAGTTTAATGTTATTCTTGGCCTATGTCTAAAACAACGAGGTTTCTGAAATCTTTACACTCAACTACAGAGCAATATTACTTCCTTCTTCTATTATAGAAATATTAAATTTTCTTAAGTTATACATATTATTTGGAAACTAATTTTGAATAAAAAGTTTAAAATTTCAATAGACATTAAGACTAAGTGGCTGATTCTATTTCTTACTTTTTCAAATTTTGATAGGGTTCAGCCATATAGCTGTTTATAAAGATGATTTTTAAAGTTAATAATAGAATCTTACGGCCAAGAGTAAACTCAGAAAGAACCATTTCAAATTCAACAAAAGGGCTATAAAGAATATGCATAAAGTGGATCTAAGCAACTATAAAAGTAGGAAAGCTGTCCTAAAGAAAACAAGAGCTAAATGAAGAACTCTCTGCAAGGACGAACAAGTCATTGACAAATGAGCACTTATACATAGAAAATTACTGGAGAAAATAAACACGAAAATGGAGTTATCGAAGTACTGAAATGGCAGATTTTTCTCTCCCCAACGCTTGCAAAGGAAAATAATGAGTCCTGTGAAGTACGTATTTTGTATAACTAAATTAACTTTACCATAGTATGAACAGAGCATTAAGAAGCCCAAAAGCCCATAGGTTCGATGAAACAGAGTATCTCCCTGAACTCAGCATCCAAAGCATTTAATAATGTTTCACATAAAAAGTGTTGACAAATATTCTGCTTATTCTGATGTTATCTTATCCACTAATTATTTTAACACTTTGCTTTTCTACTAAAAATTTAATAAAGTCGGTTTTCTTAAATCACTCTCATTTCTATTATTTCTGGGAAATATTAACAAGTTTATTTTAGAAAATTAACAAAACTCTTAAATAATTCCTATTTTTATTCCGTGACCAGTAATTTTAAGAAATAAGGGTGCTCCTACCTTTGGAGCAGATATAGTCTTGAAATCTTAAAAATAGGCTTATTTTTATATATACTTCTTGCTTTAGTTCAATAATGAGCCCTTAGATTAGAAAATCTTATTGCTGCATGACTTTGAAGAAATTTTGAAAGGATTTTTGTAACTTAATAAAATTTTAAGGATCATAAACCTCTTTTTGCTCATCTTCATATTCATAAATTCTGTTGCTGGAAACATTGTATTTATTTGTGAGAAACAAAACATTTTCTGGGAATTTATTAGAGGGACTTTATTGTTTATCTCTAATAATCTCACTTCAACAGCATGCTAAAGTTAAGAAAAGAGAGGTTGAACTCAGTCCAGCATATTTGGAAATTGGATATTTATAACTTTTGAATAATTTTGGCTAATTTTTATATCAGAGCTATATCAGAAAATCTGTAAATGAAGCATAATCTGACTTTATCATTCCTTTTCTACTTAAAGCCTGAGCGCTGAAATATTTCAAGCTGAAAAGCAAGACAAATTTTCATATTGAAGAAATAATTTTTCTAAACAACTTTATTATTCTCAGTGAGATTTTCAACGATTGGAAATTTTCAAGACTTTTGTCCTATTAATCATAATAGTTGGATTAATAAGCTCTTTGATAAAATTTTAATGAGAAATAAATAGCTTATAAAACCATTAGAAACACTGACTTTGTTATAAATCCCAGCTCTCCTTCCATTCAATCAATAAGGATTTTAACTATAAAACTTTAGAAAATAAGATAAAATGCTTAAATTCAAAGAGGAGATGCCATATCTTAACATAAGGATTTTACTTAAAACTCAGTACCCTTCCTTTATAGCTAGGTCTTCTCCTACTACCGTATTTCAATGTTTCATAGTTATTAAATTTCAATATGTTTTAGTTATTAAGGGGTTTTGGGGTTTTGGGGTTTTGGGGTTTTGGGG